TTATTTAAATTAAATGTGATAGTGGATGAAATGGCAATAATTCCGGATTAACAATTTGGGTTTAGACAGGACATTCAACTCACATGCAATTAGCCAGACTTCACCAAGACATAACAGACGGACTTAACAGAAGGTATTCAACCGGCATAGTCACACTAGATGTTGAAAAAGCTTTCGACAAGGTGTGGCATGCTGGTTTAATATACAAGTTACATGTTAATTACAAAATACCTACGAAGTTTACAATATTTATCAAAAACTATTTAAAAGACAGGAAATTCACTACATTAATAAACAACACACAATCGACGATCCGAGAGATAGAAGCAGGAGTTCCACAAGGTTCGCCATTATCCCCAGATATACCTATTAACAACAGGACTAAACTTTCATTATTTGCAGACGACACATGTATTTACTCTACTTACAAACTCCCGACCACAATACATTCAACGTTACAAAGACATTTAGACGAAATTCAAGAGTGGACTGAATCCTGGAAAATCAAAATTAATAGTGAAAAAACCAATGCAATTCTAATATCTCGACGAAGACCGTTCCCCATAATACAAGACCTAATACTTGACAATAACATAATTGAATGGAAAGAACATATAAAATATCTTGGAATACAATTTGACAATATTTAAAATTATAATTTTCATATTTCTTCAAAATTAATTCAATGCAAAGTTGCACTGACAGCACTAAATCCTTTAATACATTCGAAAAGCAAACTAAATTTGAAAAACAAAAAACAAGACTTTACTATACAAACAAATAATCAGACCATAATTACTATATGGCTCTTCGACTTTCTACAATACTAATAAGACTAACTTAAAAAAATTACAAACATTTCAAAATAAGATCCTCAGAAGAATAACTAACGCACCCTGGTTCATACGCAACACAGACATACATAAAGACTTAGAAATGGAAACAATGCAAGAATTCATGATAAAAAAATATACTAAATTCAAAGAAAAAATTGACAATTCACGAAACAAAATCATTATAAACACATTCAACATAGACAGACTGAGAAACAAAACTTACAGGAATGTTTTTGAAACTTTGCAAAATGCATAAGTGTTTATATTAGATTAGATTAAGAATTATTGTAAATAGTATACCGGGTGTTTTTCAAAGCCCGCTCACCCCTATAACTTTTTTATTTTTCCAAATAAACAAATGAAATTTGGTGTGTTTATTTATGACCCGGATGTGCATTATTTGACGTATTCAATTATTTATTATCACTTCCGGTTTCACCGGAAGTGACCAGAACTTTCTTATTTTAAATGAGACGCCAGGTATATTTTTCCTCATTTCAATAGAAAACTACGTTACGAGTACAATGACACTTCATTTGTCACTTTTTGACATTTCATCTCCAAATTATTTAAATTCTTACTTTTTAATCTAGAGCGGCATGAATTAGTTAAAATGTTTAATTTTGCTCCAAGGAACCTGGGAAAACTTGTTTTGATCTTATTTTGTATTATATATCCTCTACAGAGTCATTACAAAATATTAGAAGTGCATTTTTGTAATTATCTCAATTTTTTCAAATGGAAAGGGTGTGGCTCATTACAATATTCCAAAAGAGCGTTTTCTAACGAGCAATTCAGTACCACACAATCGCTAGTTCATCACTCAAATGAAGAATTTTCCTAGCATTCTATATATTTTTGGGAAATTTTAGTTCAATATTTGAATAAACTAGCGATTGTGTGGTAGTAGTTTGTTCGTTAGAAAATGCTCTCTCGGAAAATGCTAATGAGCCATATCCTTTCCATTTAAAAAAATTGATATAAATAATTCCAAAAATGCGCTTCTACTATCTTTAAATGAGTCTGTTGAGGATATAAAATACAAAATAAGATCAAATCAAAACAAATTTTCCCAGCTTCCTTAGAGCAAAATTAAGCATTTTAACTAATTCATAGCGCTCTTGATAATAAAGTAAACATTTAAATAATTTGGAGATGAAATGTCAAAAAGTGACAAATGAGGTGTCATTGTACTCGTAATGTACAATTTATTTTTTTCCAAGATAGATTTTGACATTGTCAACTTTGAAACATAAACAATGCCGCTAATGCCACTTATTGGCCGCTATTGTAAAACTGATGTCAACCTGCAGAAACACCTCATTTTGCGACCAAGCGTTATTGTTTATGTTTCAAAGTTTTCAATGTCAAAATCTATCTTGGAAAAAAATAAAGTATAGTTTTCTATTGAAATAGGGGAAAATATACCTGGCGTCTCGTTTAAAATAAGAAAGTTACGGTCACTTCCGGTCAAACCGGGAGTGATAATAAAAAATTGAATACGTCAAATAATGCACATCCGGGTCATAAATGAACACAGAAAATTTCATTTGTTTACTTGGAAAAATAAAAAAGTTATAGGGGTGAGCGGGTTTTGAAAAACACCCGGTATAGTATTATAGTATTGTTTTTAATTATTATTGTAAAATTGTATATACAGTGTGATTTTTTAAGTGTGCAACATACACTGAAAAAAATGTTAGTAAATTTACAATGGTGTTTAGTAATTTTCAATAAAAAAAGCAAGCAAAATCATGAACATTTCACCAAAATAACTGTAAACTGCCACACTTTTTGCAAAAAGACAGAAAAAAGAGCGATATTACAATTTTTTGTAAAAGTACACGCATAATTTCACAAGGATTTTCCATAAATATTGTAATTTTAGCAATGAAGTTGCTTTTTTACAAATCACATTGTAAAATTAAAATATGAATTTACAACAATTCTGTGATTTTAAAAAATAATAATGCATTGAAGCAAAACTTTTTATTATTTAGCATAATTGTTTGTAAAATTCTGAAATTATTTGGAAAATTATCAGTGGATAATATTGATTTTTACAACAGTCTTGCTATGATGGTATGCAGGTAATTCAACAGACAACACCAAAGTGGTGGGTGGTGAGTAAATGTGATGTATTGAGAGTTGAAGATTTGATTTTGATTGATTTGAATTAAGCGTAAGTACCCGGTAATTATTTAAACTTTTTAACCACGTATGAATGCAATTTTTGTGGGTTTAAGTAACAAATGATTAAACTTTACAATTATCACCATTTTCAGATAGCGTCAACAAACCTTCCCTCCTATCCTCTTTTTGCTGTATGAGCCCAAGCAAAAGGAGGTGGTAGTTGTGAGTTGCATCATCTTATCTACCAGTCATGAGTAAACCATTAAACCAGTCAAAATAACGATAATATTAAAAATATGAATTGACAATAAAAACATATTACAATTAATTTTTCGAGTTGAATATTTATTGTAAAGTTTTGACATTATCTTTCTGACGAAAACCCTGTACCTATAATTTTTTATACCTTCATATCTATATTATAGTTTTAGGTTAACTTTTTTATGTTATTTATTTAAGTATAGATTTTTATAGTTGACCATAGGATGCGCCTCTCTTATTTTTCTTTTGCGATAACCGAGTTTAGACTGTTTTATTTCCGCTTTTGTGTTTCCAGTGTTCATCATAATAAAAGTTATACCTACATAAGAGTGTTTTCCATATTTTCTCAAAACTATAATTTTCAGGTTTATGGCGTTATAGCTGGGAGATAACAAGAAATTGGAACATCCAGATAAATAAATCATCTATTTGTAAATTTATCCGCACATTGTAAATTTACATGCTTGTAATTTTACAATACATTTTCAGAGAAATATTTCAAACTTACAACATTTATGTAGAAATAATAAATAAAATTACGAATTTTTTGCGAATTTGAAATATAAATTCACAAGGTTTTTTTGTAAAAATATTATTTAAAATTACAATCCTTTTGTAAATTTACAGAATTGAAATTACAGAGTTTATGTAATTTTACAATAGCGTTGTAATTTTACTTACAAAATCATTCGTTATTTTTTGCCAGTGATTTTGTAAGTAAATTTACAAAATAATTTTTTCAGTGAAAAAGGTCTTTTTCTAACACATTGCTTCTTATGACAGAAACAGAAATAGTCAGTCATATGAATAATGTGTAGTAAATGCTTTCACTCTACCTCCGTCTCTTTTTGCTGCATTAGAGCTGAATACGTTTATCTCAAACAACTTAAGCAAAAGCATTTGCTTCTGTTTTATTCATATGAGCCAGTATATTGTTTTATGAGGAGTAAAAAGTGATAGTTTTTGCGGCGAGACTAAATGTTTAACAGCCGAACAAGGTGAGGCCGACAATTTTAGACGAGCCACAAAAAGTGCTTTTCTCCGAATAAAACATGCTATTTTTTCCGCAAACGGTGTTCAAGCGATAGAATCTAGGAAATTTCTGTGACGTCACTTTTTTGTCCGGCCGTGAGCGTACAAAAAAGTACATTTCTGTACGCTCACGGAACGCGCGGACAAAAAAGTAACCAATAAAATCACGTCTGTGAAGTCAAACTTCAACATTAAGAATTGAGGTTAAAAAAGTCGTCATTTTTTGACGTTTGCGGAAAATATTTTTTTTTCTTGAAAACTGTTAGAGATGAACCTATCAAACTTTTTATCATTGAAATCAGCAAAAGCAGAGCTTTCCAATGCGCTATTAATATATAGGGTGTCCTATTGAAAAAAATCGGATTTTGGTCAATATCTCGAAATCGGAGCCAAATAAAAAAAAAAACTAATAGCGTCACTGAACTCTGCTTAAAAAAGTGTTTTCAGAAAGTCTTTACGGAATTCAATTATTTTCATAAACAGAAAAGTTATGAAGGTTTCACAGTATTGCACAAAATCGAGAATCGCCCTCTTGCGGCTAAACGGTTGAAGACATCAAAATGCGGTTTGCACCAATCAAGATTTCATGAAATTTGAGCCTCAGAGTGGGGGGTTAATTTTTTTATATTTCTAAAAATAAAGAGTGTTTCAATAAGAAAGTGTCCAATCTGGACCACCCTGTACATACATACATGCGGACATAGATCATAGATTTCAAAAATTAAAAATGGTACATACATAAACAAGTTCCACAGGTGAGAAAACTTTCATTGAAATCTTCATAGTTGATGCTAACTGTCTCCACCAATGTCGAGTTCATGCTGATCATTCTCTCCCCAAGTCTAGTTCTGAAAAGAAAAGAAAATATATGTTAATTTTAGATTTTTTTGTAGTGACGTAGGTATCTCTTTGGTTGCTGTTTTTATAATTTTGGTATTCAGTTCCTAGAAAACTGCAACGTCCTTACGATCCTCACGTAATTTGTGGAGTTGTCGAGTGACGAAAACTCAAATACTCGTATACGTAGCTGTTACTTTTGATATCGATATTCGTTACTAAATATTCGTTACTGGTTACTTTCGTTACTCTGGTATTTATAAACTATGGGATAGGATAGGAAAGATACTAAACTTTAAAGATACCTTATGCGAAAGAGTAGAAAAGTGACTCATTTCATTCATTCTGATTATCGAATAAGTATTGTCGGGATTCGTATGTTTAATATTCGGTCATAATAAATATACTAAACACATGTTTAAACATATTTGCATATTTGTTTATAGAATTTATATGAAAACGAAATGAAGACAATGCAGTATTTACAAACGGTATGTTACTAAGTATTTATTTACCACCCACGTGAACGCGGTCTCGGTTATTTTAGTCTTTCTGTGGTGGCGTATTTTGTAATGGCCCTTTGTGACATCATGAACTAGCAACTTACGTGTATTATGACTTATGAGGTTCAAGCCCATTACAGCCTTCCTCTCAATCCTCTGGATATGAGATTTATGTTTTATGTCTATCTGTCTAATCACTCGTGAAATCGTGACCACTAGATTTTATTGGATAAATTATAGCAGTTTTCCGCGGATTTTCTTCTGGAGGTTCGGTTTTGAATTTTCATCATTATTCTGTATATTTCAAAGTATGAGTGAAATGAATTACGGACTAAGTTTAGTTTAAATTCAAATCGCAACAACCAGTGAAATAACCGCAGCGTAAAATCGATTTCCGTATACAGTCGACAGAAATGGTAAATAAATTCACCGATCAAGGAAAACCATTGAAGGCCAGAGGTGAAACCGCGATATAAACGTCCCCACCTTTGTTGGAAATAAGGAAATTATTTTTTTTAAATTCTCATGGATTCAGAATATGAGGGCTTAACGGATGTCAGACAACTGAAAAAAAATTTTGAATCTGACATTAGCCCTAAAAAAATAAATGTTCAAAATACCTAAAAATAACCTTACGAATACGAGAAAATTTTACCCAATTTTGGTCTTATTTTCATATTTTTACGATAGATTCCATTATTTTGAATAATATTAGGTATTTTTCTTGTTATCGGAAATTTAAAGTATCTCATCTTGCTCTTTAATTATAGAATCAATAATTTTTGGCTGAAAAATTAGGTAAAAGCGATAAGTGAATTTTATGAAGTCAATTAGTTTAAACAAAAGTTGTCATTGTAAGTAATGAGAGTTTTATTAAGTGGACCCGCGCCGCGGAGTCAGTGACAATATAATATGTTGTTCTACGTCTTATGTTAAATAAATTTACAAAGTTTCCAAATAATTATTGTGCAAATATAATTTACCTGATTATGGCTCTAGGTCTGATGGGATGGGCTGCGTCCTTTTGTATACCACTTTGAAGATTTATCAAAAAGATACTTTAAATTAGTTTCTTTGTAAAACGAAATAGTTATGGGACAAAATGATCATCAGCTGTTGTCGCTTTCGTATTATTAAACTACTATCAAACGCCAGGGTCATTCAATCCATATACGTTACAGTACCATACATAAGTAGAATATTACGTGAGTTAGCGCTAAAGAAGAAACAAGTAGAAATACTCATTTTGCACATAAAATCGCCAACTAGGCAGTTACTATTAAATTTAGTTATATTATGTAATGTAAGTATTTCATAAAGGTGGCAAAAAAATAACTGCGTTTGAAAAACAAATTTTGAATAAATAAATATCCAATCGAATGGAAGTTATTTTTAGCGATTTTCTAGGAAAGTCATTTTCAGGGAATAACTTCAATTAATTGAAATTTAGTACTTAGCATTTGCATTCTAAATCGACGAGTTTGAACCTATTAAAAAATAAAATTGTGCTTACCTATTTTGAAAATAGCTATTTATTCAATTTTTTATTTTTTAAAGTACCCATGTCCTATGTATATACCTAATCTATAAACGCCAAACGGACATCTTATAGCTTCCTATTCTGTTACTTCCATATGTGACAATTTTTTCACTTGTGACTATGGTATCGAAAAGGGAGCCCTTTATCAATATCACCACAGTCCCAAAGAACCAATCGCAAACGCATCCACCCAATTTTGCTGGCTTAAAATCTCCCGATAAATATCAAAGCTTTCGAATCATCTGTTACTTATTGTAGGTATACCTATACTTGAAAAACAAAAAACAACGTCGTTCAAGGCAAGACCGTAATACCTAATTTTCATCATCACAAAATATAGGTATTCTTCTCAGGCAACAAAATGCAAAATCGTATTTTTTATAACAGTCGCCATGCCATATAGGCGTAACAATAAAAGTTTCATGGTGCACTGGAATCGATTAGCCACACGATAACATTTCAACCATCCTAAATTAAGTCCATTTAGACGCTTTACATGCCTGAGAGACTATGGAATAGTTGGAATAATATGGGTTTCCGTTTTGCATGCAGGTTAACTATTTATTTTTGCTACACATAATTTCTAACAATTTTACTGATCTTAGATACGTAGGTACATAGGTATTTATATGGTTTTTTTCTGGTTCCAAATTTTCTCCATTCACTCAAATCCCACAGGCAAAAAATACTTTTACTTCTTACAGTTCACATTATCAAGATAAATGCTAATAAATAATGTTTATATGTATGTGTCGTGTCGTCTCTACCAAAGTTGCTGCTCTAGAAAATTGTTCTTTTTACAGAAAGATACGGGACATGAAATATTGAAAAACTAATAATTAATTTTATGTAGCATTCCCGATGAATGGCGAATGCGCAGCAAAGGCAATGGTACCGGTACCTACAACGAGACGTGAGACTAAAGTTATAACTAGACCTTGATCGTACACAAAATATCCATTCTTTATAGATTTTTTAAATGATCATCTGTCGATACGACGAAAAATTTTATTCACATTGCCTGACAGGCCTACCAACTAGTTATTATATTATATTTTATCAATTATGTTAATATGAAAAATTTAAATATTGAATCATGTTGCAGACTGACAACAAACAAAAGGTTTCGCCAGTGAACTTTCCCACGTGAATAAACATGAAAACGGAATAAAAGTGCCTTTGCTGAGAATCGTTTGAAGAGCTTGATAGTCCTCATTATTTTAATATAAGCTTCATTATGAACTGAATTATTGCGGTTCAGGAAACAGGGAATCGCTGACTGAAAATAAATGATACAGGAATTTAATGATTGCACATTAAGGAACGTGACGACAATCACAGACGCTCAAATTCACATGTCTGAAGTGATTTTCATAGTGATTATTTGATTAATCATTTATCATGATTCATGAGTAAGACGTTTAAAATGTTGATAAAAGGTGAAAAGCTGCAGGTGTTATTTGTGACTCTACTACATTATAATGTGTTTTTTTATGTCACGGAACAAATGTGTCGGAATGCATTTATTATAGTTAGTTCATTAGCATATTTTGAATTGGAAATAGGACCAGTTTTTTTTGTATGAAATTAATTTTCCAAAAATCTGTTACCTTGTACAAAAATACCGTAAACCCAAAAACCCATTGAAACTATGTAATTTCTATAGATCTACCTAAGTAACTACTTACTTGCTACTTGTATTATTTTTAGGTTTTCTTTAATAATAAGTATTAATAATCAATTACACACAAAGATATTTGAAATATAAATTAACTACTGACGAAATCAACGAATCCAAATATGCTTCTACCACCTTTAAAAGTCCAATTTAAACACTTCGCTGCCTGATGACTAAAAAATTCGCGAATGGAAAAAAATACTGGGCCAACCAATCTTGAATCTTGAATCTGGCAGAATATCGGATTATTGAACGCGGAGTGCTACACCTATTCGCCAACCACCACGAAGATTCCCTTTCGCAAAGAAAAGAAGTACTACCAAATTAGCTCCATAGAACAAAAATATTAAAGGATGGCATCATACTGATAGAAGAATCTTATAGTCAACTAAATTCTGCGTGGATGACGGCTGTGAGGTCCCGATGAAAGATAGCTACCAATAACCCCGGGTTGACGATACCCTCAATAGGTTCCAAGTGGATTTCAATTTTACGTGGATATTGTTAGGTGGAACTAAATAAAAAGGATAAAAAAGAGGACCGCCTTTACAGCTGGAAATGGCCTATATCAATTTAACGTCATGCCATTTGGATTATGCAATGCCCCTGCCACCTTTCAGAAACCGATGGAATGAGGGCGGTGGGGACTCACTTGAGAAAAACGGTTGGTATTCCTAGATGATGTCATTGGTGATTGGCAAAGGTTTCGACGAACAACTTTCCAATTTGAGGGAAGCTTTGGCGAAATTCGTGAGCCAACCTACAGTTAGTTGAATCCGAAGAAGTCTGGCCTGTTCTAAAAATAAGTGAACTTTCTTGGTCATATGGTTCCTTCAAGTGGAATAGAAACAAATCCAGAAAAAGTCCAAGCGGCACGAGATTTGCCTAGAGTGAAGAACAAACATGAATAAAAAAGCTTTCTAGGACTGTGCAGTAACTACCGCGGGCTTGTCAAGGATTTTGGAGAAATTGTTAAGCCTTTACACCAATTTACTAAAAAAGAACGCGCACTTTAATTAGTCGGCGCCAGATTGTCAAAAGTCTTCCATGAAGCTGGGTGAAGCACTGTTTGCGTTGACAGTTGTTTTGTACGTATTTTTACTTCCCACATTCAAAGTGGCGAAGAAGTAGGTATCGGATATCTTGTTGAAGCCCTGGGAAAGGTGGGCGGGAGAAATCATTGTGTTACCGGAAAGGAGCTACTGGCAGAAGTCAGATCCATTGAGCATTACCACAGGTTTCTACGAACCGACCATTAATTATCTGCCTCTGTGCTTCTATTAAAGTACC